CAACTATGTAGTATCGAATTATAGGGTGATCAGTGAATAATACATTGCAAAGGATAAGAAAATAAACGGTCATAGTGTATTGAAGAAATTATTACAGGCAAAGAACTATCCGGGGATCATCAGTGTGGGCTCAGACGTAACAGATCAACAATTGATCAGATCGTTTGCATTCGTCAGATACTAGAGAAAAAATGGGAGTACAGTGGGACCGTACATCAATTATTTATAGATTTCAAAAAATCTATGACTCTGTTAAGAGAGAAGTGCTATACAATATTTTATTTAATTTGGTATACCAAAATAGCTAGTGAGACTAATAAAAATGTGCTTAAATGAAACCTGTAGCAAAATTCGTGTAGGTAAATATTTGTCTGAGTCATTTTCCATCAAGAACGGTCTGAAACAATGAGATGCCTTGTCTCCCTTGCTCTTTAACTTTGCGCAAGAATATGCTATCAGGAAAGTCCAATATAGGCAGGAGGGTTTGCAATTGAATGGGACACATCAGCTGTTGGAAAATGCTGATGTATTGCCAGGATGATAAAGTCAAGAAGAATGAGATGGTTGTGGCAAGAGGATAATCTCAGGCAGGATCTGTGGGAGATAAGAGTTGAAGGAGATTGTATTTTGTTTGCCCAGGACAGGGTCTGGTGGAGGGCATTGGTGAATTCAGTGATGAACCTTCAGGTTCTGTAAGCTATCTAGTTAGTTAACAGAACTAGCTGTTTGAGGTTCTTGCATGGTGAAGATGTTGATCATGGTCTTGATTGTGATGCTATGTGATGAGGGATGCAGTTAGATACACTACATTCCTCCAAAACATTGGTAACCACCTACAAGACTACACAGCATCACAGTCCAGAAAACCACAATCTAACTAGATGGCTCATGGAACCCGAAGGTTCATCACCGAACTAACCAAATCCCTCGTCTGGACTCTGTCCTGGGAATCACAATCTACAAAATATAACCAGCCACTGGTCCCTATTTCACGTTTCTTAAGGATTTACACACTTTTGTCCCTTTTTTGTGTACTTTGCATTGCTATGATGTTTATTTTGTAGACAAGGTGATAAACCCAATGGATCAATGCATAATGAATTTCGCCGTCCGACTTGGAACTGGGATGAAGATGATGACGACGATGATATAATGTGAGTCTGACATTGTTAGGACTTGCATTACAGATGATGTGGTCTACTCAACACTTCTCCCCTTATTTACAGAAGAGGCCATGAATTTTGAAAGAGGACTTGTGATAGCATCTGATTGAGACAGTGGACATGGCACATCATATTGGTAGATACTTGCTTTAAAGATGTTATGAGTGTTCATTTCCCACTATATGAGACCTGTAAATTTTAGATTAAATAAGTTAGTTGGATAAATCCTGAAGGAAAAAGAAAAAATGCATTTTCATTATGGCCTCAAATACTTTCTAGCTTATTATTCTAATGTTTTTCTTTATTCATTGTGTATGAAAGATGTTAAAAGTAATGGATTTTAATTAAAATTGTCATGAAGATTCCAGTTTCAACTGATATTTCATCAATTAGAATGTGTGTGTAATTTTGTGACTGGCACAACTGATGATCTGGAATTGATAATATGAGTTTGCATGTGTTTCAGATGCTCACTTTGTGATAGGTTATTGTAAACACCTTACTCTAAACATGTCGAACATGCGTTTAAGTCTGTCAAGTAGTTAAAGTCTACTTTATACTACTGAATCTTATCACATGTAACAATATTATAAAAATGGTTGTCAATTTGTATTGATATATCAGTGAGTCTTGTTGTGCTTCAGAGAAATGTACTGTACTAGTTATCAAGTGATTTCATTGGTTCTCTGAGCAATTATGTTGCGCAGTTTTTGTTTGAACATGCTACACTGGCATCATTACCATATTGTGAAACACTGTTACTGAATTAATTAGAGCAGTTGCTTTCAACCTGTTCTTGCAGGCATTAATTTAGGGAGACACAAATAATGATCCGTACAGTCTGTGGAAAAGTAACAGCACATTTTCATTTTCAGTCTTGAACCCTAAATACCGCTTTTAATTCGCATTATGAAAATGCCATAGTTATTAATACATTTCACTCCTAATAATTTCAAATTTCTCCAATGGATGGCATTCCATTTTTCAGTCCTTTTCAGCTAAACAAGTTGCATATTAATGTATGTTTTTAAACTATGTTTATAATGAACATTTTTAAGATCTTTCTGAACATGTCTTAAGAGTCACTTCATTTACTGAAAACAAATTTTATAGCCAACTGATTATTTTATAAGGCAGCATGTTTGCTTAGGAACAATACATTTTGTAGCATTTTCTTGCTTGCTTGTATTTGTATTGAACAGAAAATCTAATGTGAGAATATGAAATTATACAATCTAAAAGCCTTTTGACCTTAACTTAGACTTGAATGAGCACACAATAAAATTTAAACCTTGATTTCCATAAAAGAACATTCGTATATAGATATGATGTTTATATAATGTTGGACTGGTTACTTAAATATTTATTTATTTATAGAACCACACCACCAAATGGATCATTTGGATATAATATCTTTGGCAATCCAACAGAAATTCATAGACATTTTGAACATCACATGCAAGAATTTGAACATCAGTTGGAAGCAGTGTTTGAATCATTTGATAGTTTGTTTGGTAAGTGTGTTTACATCACTCATTATTTAATTAGTTGAAAATTTTAATGTGAAAATATTGTACATGCTTTGTTCATGTTGGCTGTTTTAGGAGGCAGTTTCTTTCAGTCACATCCACCAATCTCACAGCCAGATCATTACCAAGGGAAGCAAAATTTAAGGGATAGCTACTTGAAACCAAAGTACTGGCATAACACACACAAAAGTGAAAGCATTCCAGAAAGTACCAGAACAGAAAGACAGTTGGATGATGATTTAGATGACAGGTAAGAAAGTTGTTTGCACCAGAGCAGGGTTAGTGGTTAACATGACATAAAACTGAAAGGAAAAGAAGTTTACATAAGAATATTTCCATCTGTTTTCAGATTGTTGTTTTTTAAAGTACAAAATTAGTAGTCACTGATTTAAAGCTTTCATGGTGATTCATTAACACTGATCTTGCATTTGGCTGTTGGTACCATGTGGAAGTAGGCTGTGTTGCTTACGTTTCAGAGGAACATACAGCTTCCATCATCAGGGCCAAAGTGAGAAGTGTTGTGGTGCCCTAAACAGGGCTTTTTCCTACCTAGACATTACATGGCTTTGACTGGCCAATTACTGTGGTCTGATCCATCTCCCATCCCTATATAAATCATCTGCTTCCACAGCACTCTTCATTATAGCTCTCATGATGGAGGCAGTATGTTCCTCTGAAACATAGGCATCATAGCTCACCTCCATGTGGTGCCAGCACCAAGAAACAGGATCAACAATAGGGATTAATTGTTTGAAATAATCCAAAGTGTGTAATGAAATGCACAGGTGTGTTAACATTTAAAATGAGCATGGAAGTTAGTTGTTGCTCAGCTAATCAAGAAGTTCGTGCCATTTATGGAACCTGAAGTTTCATTATGATGTCTACCAGAGTCACTGGGCCCAATCCTGGAGTCAGATAAATCCAGTCCATTTCTTAGGATTTGAGGTTTTTATGGCAGTGGGTTGGAAGATGGCTATCTTCTGGGTTGTAGCACTGTGTAGTTTGGTAGATGTTTACAGATGTTTCAAAGGTCCTTGCTGCCTCTGTCATCATAATGATGAGTAAGCTGCATACCCTGATGATGGATTTTAATATTATTCTCCTAGGCAGCCTTTTCCCATCAAGCTTTTTCAGGCTTCTTTTACTATAGTTTTGTATGCCTTTTTAATCTCTTCTGGGTATGTTCCATACTTTACTCATGTCATCCATCTTGATTTTATCATCTTAATATTTGGTGATCAGTGCAAATTATGAAGCTCCTGATGCAGTTTTCATCAGTCTCCTGTTATTACCAAAATTCCAGTACATACTGTAATTACAGTATTGTTAAGAAATGCATTATCTGCTTTGTGGCAGGGTCAGTGCAGGCCAGCTGGATCAGATCTTGAAGGACAAACCATCCATAGAAAAACATGAGCCATGTGTACAGACACACATCTTTGGAAACAGCTCTTTCAGTACAATTATCACAAATAGTGATGGGGTAAGTATTCAGTCCTAGTAGAAATTCTCAAAACATTTGCATTTGAAGCATACACACCAGCAGTAGAAAATAGCACTAAATATTTTGTTCGTGTTATGATTTTTCTCAATAAAAATAAGATTCATCTACACTTAGAGAATGTTTTATGGTGTCCTGTTTTCTTTGTATGCCAGGCAATGCTGCAATTAATGATGAACATTTCAAATTCGTTGTTGTTGAAAACTACTAGTACATAAAAACTGGCAATTATGTGATAAAGATTGGATGGGCAGTAAACTGAATGAATGAAAGAATTTATGAAGTCTGTCATATATACTTTACAGTCTTATACCAACTAATTACTGATCCGTTTCTCTTATGAGGAAAGGGGGAAGAAACGTTTATTATATTTTTTTTCGAATACCTGTTAGTTACAGTTTTCTAACCAAATTATGTGTCTTTATCATCAAGTCTCCAATAATTTCTAAACAGATTTATATGAAAAATGTTGATGGGTTTAATGTGCCTTGCATTCTGTTTCTACTTTTATAAATTGAGGATGATTTGTAGACTGTGTTTAAAATAAATATGATAAAACATATTTGATATAAAAGAACAGAAGAAGCTTGCTGTAAGGGGAAAAGGCAAGTCATGCTGCAACAGTTTTTTTCTGTAAATTGAAGTGGGTGGTCATCCTACATGCAGTACTCAGGATGTTTTGTGTATTGTGGTATATATGTACCAGGCTGTATGTTGCAGATAGATGGGTAATGTAGCAGGCAGCTTTAATATAATTATAAGAGCCTTAACATAATTCTTTTGGTATTGCAGACAGTGGAACATCATTGTATTGTAAGGGATAGTAAGGGAAATGAGGAGGTAACAGTGACCAAGCAGATAGGAGATAAAAAATACTCTGTGACCACTCATACTGATTCCACAGGAGAAAAGCAACAAATAGAGAATTTTGTAAATGTGGAGAAAGGTAAGCTACAGTAAGGCCAATGCAGGTAATGTGGATTTTGTTATAAGCGGTATGATTTTACTTCAGGATGACTTATATACAGTAAGTTAGATAGTGCAGCCATGAAGTGAACTTGTGCCTTATCACTTGGGGATGATAAGAAAGAGAGAGAGGAAAAGTGTATATTGAAATGCACAACTGTTTAAAACAAGGGCACCTCATCTTGCTGTAATTGATAGTGTGTTACTCTGTTATTTGCAGATGATTTGGATGCCTTTAAGAAGAAATGGTCTAAGCTTCATCAGAACCCACAGGAACCAAAACTGGCTGATTTGTCTATCTTTGATCAATTTTTCAAATAGGAAACTAGTAACTAGTGTCTGTATTTAAATTTTAAGGTTTTTTTGTGTAGCAGATAAAAATAATACTTCTTAAATTTGTAGTGTTAAGCAAAACAGCTGTTTCTCAATTATTCTCCAGTTCTTGCAGTAGGTTACAAGATTTGTTTACCTCATGACAAAGTTCACAGTTGTGATTGAATAAGACAGTCTGGACTTTGATTATTGTATTTCAGCTTTCTAAATATGATTTCTGTAACTTCTTAGGATTCCAGATACTGCTTACAATAAATAATGGTTACCCATGTCTAATATTTGCTTTGAATTAGATGTTTCTGAACATATGCCATTACTATTTTTGAGGAATATTTGAGATGTTCTCAATATCAAACTTACTACAGCTAGAGGGTGGGGAGTAAACCACCATTTGACAAGCTGTGATTTACTCAGCTTCTGTGGTATTCACCTGTGAAGATACTGATACGTGACAGGGAAGTGCTAATTATTATTCTGTAGGAGCCTACGATTGTTGGAGAATGTGGTTAGGATGAGGGAGGCAACATGAATATAGAATTTTAGCAGGGGAACAAACCTCTTGGAAAATGTCCACTTAGAAGACTGACTGAAGGGTGGCACTGAGATGTATCTTAGGGATTTTGATGGCAATTTCTCAGGATTGCATCCAGTGGAATGCATCCTGTTCCTTGTGCTACCTGTCATTTGAATTTAGTGTGTCATATGTTTGGAAAATATATTTATTTACCTTTTTTGTGTGTGTGAAACTGAAAATTACAACTTGGTGACTGAAATATTTTGACACCAATAACTGATAAGTCACTATAACCTGATGAGAAATTTGTATGGTTACATAATAAATACAGCTGCTAGTAGTATGAGCGATATTAAAGTCTACAAATTCTAATCTTTTAAAAATTTAATTTGTATCACAGCAGTGGTGAGTACTTGTTTTAATCCTTATTGTATGAGTATATGGGATTTAAACCCCTGTACTATGGGGTTGTCAGCCACGCTTTAAGTGCAGGGGTAACAGTTTGGCAGTATGCTGCTGTGACAAGGACAGCTGGAATGCCATGATATGGCTGATAACAGTTAATGTGATCTGATAATTCCAAAAAAGTTTCTGTTCTGTAATTTGTATAGTTTCAAGTTAAGGAGATTATGGGTTGTCCACATGCATCATATGGGGAAATAAGAAATGCATAAAGAATTTTGGTGGGTTTCCTTTTTAGAAAGCAGCTGCTTGATAGAATACTATTAAAAAGGAGTCTTGTGAATGACAGGATGTGAACTGGATTGAATCTTAGCATTTTATTACCAGTGACAGAGTCAGATTGACCAGCCTTCTCTCAAAAGTTACAAGTAAATATTTTCAAATCTGGTAATTGTCAACTTCTTCCCTGATAAACTACAAATTTATTTCTGCAACTGTAAATACATCTGTATATACACATACTTCATTACCTACATGCACTCACAGTGCCTTAGCTTGGTGTGCTTGCTTTTGGAAGAAACTCAATTTTGGAATCTACTTTCAGCAATGAACCCAGCCCACAGCACAACTACAATTTGTCCAAAAGCCAACAGAAACCTCTTCCTCCTGTAGGACTGACTGATTTTTTTTTTTTTACAGAGTTCCATTATTTTAATTTTGTTTGCTATAAACAGTGCCTTTATGTATGTATACTCTAATGATGTAAGTCTATGATCTGAGGTGAAAATCAATTGTGTGCCATATATTACCCCCTTTCCCCTCATAAAAATATAATTGCCACTTTAATTTGAGTCTTTCTAAAAATATAGCAACCCTCTCTATGATGCAGTTATAATTGTTGCATTTCCAGACCACCCTTTCTAAAAAATGAAATCACTAGTCCAAATAGCACACAAAATACCTGCAGATTATGGTAACATGACTCTGTTAAAAACCAGCCCCTCCATTCCAAAATTTATTCAGACCAGTGGAGCTACAGAGAAATTAAATTACCTCTTGAAATATTTACTCAATATCTACATTATCTTTGGATAGTAATATAATAGGTATTTACATTATAATACATAATGCATTACAATGTACATGATATTTGTATAGAAGTACTTTCACAAATATGATTATTATAAAACTCTGAAGCTAACTGTGAATCTCTTTTGGGCACTATATATATTACAATATATAAAATATGTGCCTAAAATAAATGTAATGCTGCATAATTGCTTTTTTAAAATTCCAAGCATAATATTGGTATATTTATATTGTCCCTGTGAAACAAAGTAAGAAAAAGAAAAATACCGTAGGAACGCTAGTCTTGAATATACTAATCCCTGGCAGGGAGGTGGTTCTCCTTATGTGAGCCACAATTCAGACACTGTATATATTTAACAATGACCTAGTGAAATTGTACTGCAATGTAAAGAAATATGCATCTATCATATTGACGTTAAAAATTCAAAATAGGCCCCACAATTTCATGCACACACATTTAAGAAACAATACTTCAACAAAATGGTGTCACCATCTTCATGACAAAAAAGAAAAGAAAGCAATGCTACAAGTTTCTATATACAATTAATTACTGGGTGAACTTTATAACAATTAAGAACCAGTTCATTATATTAATAATATTATATACATAAGTGACAGGTACAGTGTTCCTCAGCCAGAATGTGTGAAATGAGTTTTTATGTATTTGACCCAGGTATTTGCAGCACACTGTGGGACTAATACTTTCACCCGTTTAAGATTGTGTACTACAACCCTTTTATACTCTTAACATGTTTCAAATCTTGCTGGTTTACCTCTGACTTGTCCAATCTCCTAACCAGGTCTTGTCACTACAACTCATTCCTGACCAAAACCTTCAGTCTCCTCAATGGCATAGTTCAGTTTCTCCACCATCTGGTCATAACTCTTGTATGGAGGGAGATCCAGCCTATTGAAACATGTGTGTGACCTTGGCAGCCAGGTGTCTTTACCAACTTTTTCAATGCAGAATCTCTGTGGACCATTGCTCCCTGTAATAACAGTTCAGTTTTACATATAAATTTAAGTACTGTGTGCTACAAAATTACTTTATGTGTTAATATGAAGGACACATTTCTCTAAAGAATAGATCAAATTTCGGGGGGGGGGGTTCTGGCCTGAGAAAAATAGTGGCAAAAAAAACTAAAAACAAGCCAAGCCAAGGGCATAAAACATAACAGGAGAAGACAGTTCTTTTGCAGTGCACAAAAGAGAAAAATGAAGGAAATTACAATTTAAGACCTTCTGAAAGGTGTTTGGCACAAGTGAAATAGACGATCCTGTTTTTTATTTTTATAAATTGAAAATTAAAAGGGAGCCAAATTATTTTTTACTAGAAGCATTCCAGTCAGATGGCTCTAAAATAATACTTGAGCTTGTGGACGAACAGCTTTTGGATTTAGTTGGTGTTGATTATGGATCTTCAAAGTATATACATGGAGGCCCTGAAAACATCAGTGCGCCAGGTGACATATATAGGATTGTGTTAATTAACAGCATCTAATTCATACAACTGCTCCTGCAGACGAGTTCAATGAAATACATTAAAATTAGTTTTACACTAGCACTTAGAGTATGTCAACATGACAATGTAAGTGTAATAAACACAAATTACTTCTGCATACACAGCGGGCTACAATTTGTAAAAGTATAACGATTCCAAGGACTGCAATACAATCAGGCAGCTTCACTATTAGTTCAGTGTTTGCTGTTATTCACAAGACACTGTATGGTCATAAATTATGGAATGGATCATAATGAACTTAATTTCATCTGTGGGAAATATATGTAGTGGGGATCCACAACAGGTCAAAGCTGTTTAAAGGTACACAAATTATGAGAGAAACACCTTGAGCCATTTAAAGGAAAACTATGAACTGTTGAAGATTTAGTAGCCATCTCAAGGTGACTTGTTGCTCAATATAAGAAATCACCAGAAGCAAACTATAGTAAAATAGAAAGTTATCCATGTGTTTAATTAAGCACCATGTCATGATTACATGGGAGAATGAAGTATAACTCCACACATTTAACCTCAACACTCAATGGACCTTCAATATGTATTAAAATGTTAATAAAATGAAAATATTAATCAACATTATTATATATTAAGGTATAAATATAATGATTCATAAAAAAAATACTTTCAAAATCATTTTGATCTTTCTAAAAACATGAAGTCACCATGCAGTGGAAATGTAGTATGTAATCAAAATTTGATTTTAATTCTACTTAGTATCAGTTGAATGTCTACCTGCAATCAGTGTTATACATGTATAACGACAATACATCCATCTTTTCATAAAAAATAAATATGCGTATAAGATGAACCACTAAATTCAGTCTTAAACATGAAGAGAGAGCATAATACAGAGCACAAACATTTTCATATCTTATATATGTTATGAGGAAAAAATTCTTGCATGGCATATATATACCAAATGTGTTTACAATTAACTCAACTGTTCAGATGGTATAAACACACCAACCACATCCCAAAAAGAACTTTATTATTTACTTTACATTTTGTCATTAAAGTGTTTTCTGAAACATAATACACTTACTTACCCATGAGTTCTGCAAATCCTCCAACTGGAACCCTGCAGGTACCCGTAACAAACTGCAACAGACGAGCTCGCTTCTCACTGTCCATTGACCGGACAAACTGAAACATTTGATGTTACATTTGTAACATAGTTCAGTGATTCACAAACTTTATCACTTCATAAATCCCCTCCCTTCATTATATTTCTTTCCTGAGAATTTTTCAGTTATGTTACCCCATCAGTCACTTTTATCAAAGTCATGTTCCTATTATAGCAGGCATCCAACACATTTAAATTAAAAAATACAATGGTAAGGTAAACATTAGTTAATATATAACATAGGACTATGTAAATAATCTCTAACCCCATGGAGCAGTCTTCCAGAAGCTGGTAGCTGCTTAACTAATCAAGAAATTGCCTCTCTTATAGAACCTGTTAGTTCATTACAGTACTCACATCAGCCTGTCATTGGATCCTTAGCCTGCATTAAGTCACCTTATTTCCTTAAGACCCATCTTAAAATGTTGTATACAACAGTTAATTATACAGTAAAATCTCAAAACAGAGGTATGACAAATAGCTGATTCTGTCACACACAAACACCAGAGGTTGGGGAACACACTTGGATTCTGTCACCTTCAAAATACTCCTTTCCTTCTAACTTTAAATTCACATTCCAATAACTGTCAGGTCTGGAAACAATGTGAAAAAAGTTATTTCAGTAATGCCATTACACTACTTTAAAAATCTTAAGTAATTCAAAATGAGACCCCTTTCAAGAAATATTTAGTTTCACGAACATGAAAAGTAACAATGGGTCAAATTAGGCAAGTATAATATTAATTAATGTTCCAACACCAATATTTGTTTTTTGGTCAAAAGTGATTTTACATAAAGTATTGTGTGGATATTACAACCGGGGTTCAATCCCTGACAGGGGCATTGGATTGTTTTTCTAGTCTCTGCATCCAGGCTGGCTCTGGGGCCCACCCAGCCTCCTGTCCAACAGGTACTGGGGGTCCTTTCCTCAGGTGTAAAGTCTGGCTGGGGCATGAAGCTGACCACTCACCCTTATCTAGTGCCGAGGTAAAGAATGAGTAGGAGCTACACCTCCTCTCTCCCCAAGCACCCACATGGCATATTGTGGGACAACTTTAATTTTATTGTGTGAATGTTCATTATCATGATTTAAACTCCCAGCCAAATATTTGGTAACATGTTTAACACTTGATAGAAAGTAGGGCCAAAATCTTATTTAACTTTCAAAGTTGAATCAAACACTTCAAAAACGTGGATTATTTTAAATTTGGATACTTGGCACAGTTCTGCCTCCCAACCTATGGCCATGCAGGCAGAAACCAAAAAGATAGAAATCAAGAGAAGAAATACTAACAATGGCATAAAGAACCCTTACTATAATAGGGGCCTAAAACTGGTAAATCCTCAGCCTTGTATTTCTTAACTACAAAGTTACAACCACAATAACAAACTGTCCAACTCATTACTTTAGGTCAATGGCTCCTGTGTCAGGTGAAGAAGATATGCTACTGGTTGTAGGTATTAACAGATTCACCTGACAGTTCAGTCCGTGAAGTGACTGCCTCCCTGTATGCTGGATGACATGGATTGACTTTCCTGTGGGGCTAGGGAGACTCCTCTTTTGCTTCTATATATAGACCATTTATAGGCCCACCCAGCTTCATATCCAGAAAGACATGTGATTGGTAACAAGTCAATCATTTATTTGCCTCCATATGTGAGGATCTTCACATCTATGTCCCCTGTATGCCTTCAGTGTGTATAAGCAGAAAACAATCTTTACCTTTCATCTTACAATGATAGTATGTACTGTACTCACCTGCCAAAACCATGCTACTTGCTTGCTGTTGCGGGTGTAATGACGGTAGATGGAGTTACGCTGCCAGTCATCAACATCAATCTCTTGCATTCCACACAGCATCAGCTCCAGCTCACGCTCATCAAAGTACTTAAGCCACTCCAAAGGAACAACTTCATTAAAGCCATCAAGAAATGCTTTGGTCTGATCCTCAATACCGCGCGTCATCCGCCACTCTGTCATCAGTCTGCAACACAAACTTCAATTATGCACCCATGAAGCTCCATCAGTTTAAGCTAGCTAAGAGCTCCCACCTTTCTCAACTTCATGAAACATAATCTTTCTTGATAAATGGAGAGTCACTTACATGGTCACAAAATTCTCCACATTCTATGGAAATATGTTACATTACCATGTTCACAAGTCTTGTGGAGCCAATTATGAGCTGAATCCAGCTGACAATGTCACACTCAATTCATATAAGACCTGTTTAATGTCAATCTCTCATCTATGCCTAGGTCTCCCAAATGGTATCTTCCCTTCATGTCAAATTCAAAGCCTCGGGTCCATTTACCATTGCCAAAGAATCTGTCCAAGTCCCATTGTGACACTTCATAACATACTTGTATATCTACAGTGAAGGGTTGTTATTATTATTATGATGATGATGAACAATGAGAAACTGTCTTCTGTGCCATGGTTACAATTCTTCTAATACTATTTCCTAACTAAGAAAACACTAGGAATATTATCAGCAACAAGATATATATTTTGAGGAATATTTAAATTACAGTATTTCAGCATATAATGTACTACCTCATGTATTCTTCCTTGTTCTCTTCAACCACACGGATCTTGTCACCACTTTCCTTTAATTCATGGTGGATAACTTGCCCAAGAATTTCAAAATCTACACTGAAGTACAGTTCAAGGCCACATTCATCAATGTTATTGTCTTTGATCCAGACTAAGGAGTTATAAAATTCAGGATCAATAGACTCTATGTCCTTCATTGTTAGTTTCTTGTTCAGCATCCTCTTGTAGAAGGGCATAGTGAATCCAGAGTAAATGAAGCGGCCATGATAAAGAGCCTACAAACACAAAACAATTTCTGGAGATAATGACTACATGTTTGATTACTTCATCCACCATGAAAACATATATATTGTTTTCATTAACTCAAAAAAACATTTTTTCGGGCTTGCTGATTAATTTTTAGGTTCTTTAACAACACTGTTTCAACAGCACAGACTATATACTGTAAATGTTTTGGTAAAATGATCATGATTATGTAGTAGATAAGAATTTGGAAGGATGCAGACAGTCCTATTTCACAGTACTATTTTGGAATTTGCCTCAGGAAAACAGCAAAAAAAAAGTCATGGAATCTTTCATTATAGCTAGTACTATGGTTGAGACTTGAACTGGAAATCTGAATATAAACATACAGAATTACTTTCACACCTACCTGCCAAGTGAATTCTGAAAATATAATTGTCCTCATATGCATACTATTAAAGATGGTACATTGTGTACAAAATACTTCATGATACAAGTTTGGTTTGAAAACTGTACTGGTTTGGTGGGTATTAAATACATTTGTATATATTTAGACTATTAATTACAATTTTAATATGGAATTGGATATAACTGTAATCTGATTATTTTAATGATTACAGCTCTAGAATACGAGGTGCGATCGGAAAGTCAATAGAGGGTTGTACGACTTGTGCGACATTGTTGGGATAGGCTATGGGGCCTGTCAGCTGATTCTAAAGGAAGAACTCCACATGCGACGCCAAGGCTCCTGTCTGAGGACCAGAAGCAGAATCGACTTGACTTCTCGTTTGTCAGGAGCTCAAAGATCTTGCAAGAACCGACCCCAACTTCCTTTCTAAGCTCCGTGTGACTTCTTCCTCTTCCCAAAGATGAAAATTCAGCTAAAGGGAATGAGATTTGAGACGATAGAAGAGATTCAGGCAGAATCGCAGATGGTGCTTGACAGGCTGACAAAGATTTCCAGGGATGCTTCCAGGCTTGGCAGCGGCGCTGGGATCGTTGTGTTCACTCCCAGGGAAACTACTTCGAGGGTGATGGATGAATTTAATACCTGAGATAAGTGTACGGGTTTTTATAGGCACAGTCTTGAAACTTTCCGATCGCACCTCGTATGTACACATCACACATTTCAGAAATTTCTTGAAATGTTCCTGTAAAATAGTGGTTTTTACTATTTAAGAATACTTAATTTAATTTACTATTAAGTATTGCTAACATAACATTAAATGGAAATCGTATTCAGCACGAGAAAAATTGTTTCATGCACATAAAAATGGAGAGCCAAAAGATACGTACTCAGTAAAGACATTTGTACAGAATGTGTCTTATACATGTATAAGACTGTATGAAAACACAGTAGTTAGTAGTAACACACATCCAGTTTCTAAAAATCAATGGCACAAAATTAATTAGTTACAAGTAAAGATGACATCTTACCATTGCAATAAACCTGCCGATGAACTTGAAATACAACAAATGATCAGGATTGACATATGAGGCTGGATTGATTTGTAGGCTGTAATTGTTCTTATTAGCATATTCAAAAAGGCAGTACATTGGATTGAGCACTTCATGGGACAGGAGAAAGAACCACTCCCTGGAACATAAAAGTGGAAGAAATTAGCTTTTTGGTTCGATTATCAGACAATGAATTAATTAAGTATAACTGCTGTGAAATAGAACAGTACTTGTAAGTCACTTTCACAGTGGTCTATGACCATCATGTAAATAAAACTTCTTACAAAACAACCAGGAGTAATTACTTTTGTTTGTGGTGGTACACCAACCCAACTCCTATCCAGGGAAAAAAGGAAAGAAAAAAAGTGCAGCCAAGAGCCATTCTGTTTTGTGTCAATTACACCACATTTACTCAACCAAAAGTTCTTTTGGTTCATAGTTTCATTCTAAAATAGGGGATTAGCTTATGTTTTAAAATGAAGAAATTGGGGGGGGGGGGGGAGAAAGCAAATAAATTAAACAATTCTGGAAAAATAAACATCTGGTAACTGTGTTGTATATTAAAGAAAATCTGAGTATCCATACAGTACTATACTGACATTAGCATATTTCCAAAGTGTTATCACCAGATTCTTGTTATACTTACTCGCATATTTGCATGCAACTTATCCAGTTCTATACTTCTGGAGTAAAATTATGGTTAATGGGTTTAGTGTTGAGTTATATTTCATAACAATACAATATCCACCAGACAGGAGATCATATCCAAGTTCCTGCTTTTACTCAACACAGGAGAATGAATGATGCTGGAAGTGAAATGTGGTCAAATGGATATTCTACACAGATGAATGAGATTTGAGATGTATCACAGATGCCAGATGATGTTCTGTGCTTGCTAAACGTGTTAACAGTAACTGTGCCTTTTAACAGTTTAGAAAATCATGTGACATGATCATGGGACACCATGTGGAAGCAAGACTCTTGATGTACAAATGCCTTCTTCAATCTTGTGAACTGTTTATGATGCCAATTCTAAATCAGTAGTATACTGTGACGTCTGGTAACTGTATAACGAGAATGTGTTTCAATGGAGGAAAGACAAGTACCTACTAGGTGCACAAAATAAATGGCTGTTACCTGGACACTCCACCGTAATCCAACCCTTCTTCTCCTCTGAATATAATATACAGTCGTCTACGTAGCTCATAAGCTGGGAGTCTCATGATTTGGTGGTAGGAATCCTCAAAGAGTGTTTGTCGTGTCACTGTGATCTTGATGTGGCTTGGCAGTGCATTGCTTTGGCACAGGTACCGGAACTGACTGAGCTTCCACCGGAAAGAGCGTTCATATGCCCTAGGTACACCATACACACCTTTTGGTCTGGAAAGGAAAAAAAGTACTGTTATTGCAGTGACTCAACACATGAAGACCATGAATTCAAGTCCTCAACTTGTGCTGGTCCTATTATGACGATGCGCTCTTTGTTTGTTGGAAATATACAGACACTGTCTTGCACCAGACCTATCAAAATTCATAATGTTCAGAGGAACTTTCAAACATTCAAATACAGTAGACAAACATGCACTATGAGAACCTGAAATCTCACTTATCAATGAAAGACTTTAAAAGCATTCCTCTGGAAATTCCTATGAAATTACAAATGATACAAAATTACCCCATATCATGGTATCTTGTGACATTAGAATTAAGCAGGAAATGGTTTTTTGTCATACAGAGATTTAAGTGTGTCATAATAATGTAATAGTAAATACAGAAAACTGTCTCTATCACAATATTTCTATGGTCTTAAGAATTAAGAATGAAACTACTGAAAAATTATTTGCAAAAATGGAAACCAGCCTGTAACAGGAAATCTGTCTGAAATGTGGAAATATTACAGTTCCTTAAGATTCCATTTTAGGAAATTTTAATGTAAACAGAAGTTTCTTAATATGTTGCTATATTATTAACTTAAATGATTGAAAAACACTGTTATCATGTAGGTTCAAGTATAACAAAAGGCATAAGGGTGAATACAGGTATTTTTGAGCATTCAAATTCTCTTAACCTCAAAACTGTAATATTAAAATGTTATACGTATGACCTTATTCAGTGACAACTGAGCAAATTTTACTTCACTTTTTTGTGTTGATTCTGAATAGATGTTTGAAGTTTTTTGTCGTTTTTTTAAAGATATTACTGCCATACCCATCTGCACACAATTCAAGAGACACTCGTTACACAGTTCATATACAGCAGAACCATAATAACATTTGTCCGGAAAGAGCAAAATTCTCTGCAATATGGGAATTTCAAAATTACTCACTGCAGTGCTACAGATGAAGTGGCCGGTGGGAACAGTTATGAGAGGACCTAATCACAGTCAACGTTATTGTTAACTGAGCTACTGATGCTAGCCATCCAACAGAAATGAGCTACACATCTGTTGTTCTTCTGTGACATATAGATGCTGTACACACCCTTTAGGAGCTCCTGGACGTGGGTCCTGAAATGTGGTGGTACGAGTGTTGTGGTCTACAAAGTACCTTACTCCGTCCTCAGTAAGACGGATTTCCCAACCTGGAGGCAGGGCAGGTTCATCGGCACCCAATTCTTGACTATAAAACAACATTAAACATCAATATGACTTATCTATCTACATATCAACTGCAATTTTAGGGTTTCTTTTCATGATATCACAAAGCAACTGCCCAATCATAAGAGAGACTTGGGTGAGAAATGGCCATTGAATTTTGCTTGAGAAACATCTTGTTTCATGCTTGTAAGGTTCTTTTACATGCTGTAAATCTACGACATGGGACAGCCGGCTTTACTGTAGGAAATTGTGCTACGGATTTCTATCACCCTTAAAAATCCATCAACCTCAGCCGGGTTTGAAGCCACGGACCTTGGGTCCAGTGGTGAGGATGCTATCCACTAGTCCACTGAGGGTGACTAGTTTCTCAGATAGTACAATCAATTACGCAATGTGGAAGTTCACCCTTATGACGGTGGCAGTATGCACCTCTGAAACATCAGTGAACTTCTATGAGATTACATGGCGCAACATAACAAACACTCAAGAAGACACTGCGCCATGGAGTTTTATATCAATCTGTATCAACAAGACTTGTAATAACTCTTACCCTTGGGTTCTTGGATCTTCCCACTGGGTAGTTCTGTTTTTGTGATTCACAAAGTACACCCGACCATCAGGTTGAACACGTTTCTCCCATCCTGCTGGCAGAGCACCCGATGAGTCCTCCTCTTGCTCTGGTACAGGCACTGTTGAAGCAGAGTGCTGTAAAGAAAAGTTTCTTCAGCATGAACCGGTGATTAGCAACCACAGACTAAATAAAACCTTGTGAAAAGAATAACCCCTTGTAATACTAATTAATTTTGTGTCCTAAGTTTTTCCACATACAATTAATCAAAATATTTTAAAATGTTTATGTCAGGTCTGTGATAAAACATCTGTTATCCACTACTACAATTTGTATCCATAACTTCTTATAGCCAAAAGTAGCTAGCAACATCTGGATGTCCCATGAATATTAAAGTATGTCAACTGGTTAATCAACTGGCTCTAGTAATTCCTACAAGCCTTTCATCTATTTTTGCAGGAAAAGCTGTTTCTACAATAGACAGATTCTAGTTGTGATCTGCCTGGCATGTGAATGCAGTACAACCATATTCACACACCTGTGGATAAAGGAACCGCTGGTTTCCTTGCTGCACAACATGGGCACGTTCACCCTGCCAATGCTGATAGTGTTGTAATCTCTCTGAGTTGGGTCTCTGCCATGTTGTGGTGCGTGTGTTATGATCTACATAGTAGATCCGTCCCCTAGGATCTCGTCTGATCTCCCAGCCTGATGGCAATGGTTGTGGCCTTTCCCACGATGTGCTTCTTGTATTATGATCTACATAATACCTGCGTCCATATATGTCATATCGCATCTCCCACCTGAAATAATATACAAATATGTGAGACTAATTTAAAAGACAACATAAAGAACCAGCTGCATGGTATGTCGACAAACAGAAGGCGACAAGTGGTGGAGAAAACTGTATGAACTTGAGAACTGGAAAAGAATACAGTAACAACCTACTGTACGGTACTACTGTAGCATTTGCCTGGAAGGATACAGGAAAATCACCAAAGACCTCTGTTGGAATATCTGGTCACCTGGCTAAGATTTTAACCAGGGACCTTCTGAACAATAAGAAACTGTGATAAACACTGTGCCACAGCATTCGGTGGGTGGCCTGGTCATGTGTCAACAGATCACAGATATGGGCAAACAAAAATTGAATGGTGTCATATCTGGGGAAAAAGATGGCAAGGCACTTAAGAAGTTCCCCTTCTCTATACTGCTGTTTTGTAACACTACCACAGCGTTTATTGAAGTAAAAATGTGCTATTTAATATAAGAGTGTTTCACTACAATAACACTGTTTCACAGTCTCTGGCAACATACAACACTATAGGAGGTGTGTGTGTGTCTGTTTGTGCGTGAATTTTTGACATACAATAAAATATAAAATACAAAGCTGTAGTATTTCAGAGAAGACAGCAGAGATGTTATGATCTGTAGAGTTGCAGAGTGGTTTTGCATATAGTCAAAAAGGAAAATACAGAAAAAGAGGTTGAGAAGTATTTCAATAAAATAATGACCTGAATATAATAACAGTGCTATATACTAGAAGCAAAACAGGAATGTCACTTAGCTACCCAGTTTATAAATCATGCAGTTTGTTCCACAGCTCTTGCAAAAAAACAGAAAAGAAAATCACTGTTCATTATTTTCTCTCATCTGCATGCTTAAGCACCACTCCGTGAGGGCAGAGCTCTGCCCATTTTTAACCTCAGCACTAGATTGGCCACTTTAGTCCAAAAAAAGGATGAGGAGAAAAACAGGAATAATAATTCTGAACAAAATTATGGTTGGGGCACAAGTGTTCTTGAACGTTGAGATGAAGTCACTAGAAGAATGTCAACTGAACAGACATGTAATCCATTTCTAAACGGTTCTGACAATGGTGGATTACACTTAAAATTATTCACTATCTTGATTTTTTCATCATCCTTGTTTGAAAGAAAATCCAGATAGTGAATAATTTCAAGTGAACAGACATGGCTGGTTAACACAGAATTATGCATGACTATATATGCCAAATAATCCCTATATAGTACAAAAAAGTGCACTGCTAATAGTGCACACTAATTGCATCTGAAAAATTCTCATCTTTATTTAACCATCTTGCTGAAAACACTGATCCAGACTGCCACTGAATCAACACATGTGTGAGCAGTGCTGCTATTTGACAACACCTAACCAAGTATTACTGCTATTCAGTACAAAACACATGATATGGTACCACTTTGTATGATACTTGCCCTGCTGGGAGAGGCTCTTCACCACTAGTGGACTGTCCTCTCTGTGTAACTGCATCTTGGGCTCCAGACACAGGAGCCTGCACTGTTGATGAGCCATTGACCACAGGGGCAATTCCACCGGTTCCCGTTCCAGAGTTAGGGACACTATTTGTTCCATTGCTAGTCACTGGAGAACTACTAGCAGCCAAGTGAGATGCTATAGAAGAATTAATATAGTATGTAATGAGACACAAATCACCATAAGTACAAACATAAAATCACCCATAAGTATTCCAAAAAAGTTTAATAGAAGAAAAACAAACTAATGAACAAAATTAGACATGTTCAAGTACATACACCATTCATTAACTGATTACTTATTTTAATTTTCCAAATTTTTATGACTGAAATACACTAAACTGTATGTGTGTGATGAAAGACTTTTATCTTGTAAGGAAAACTAGGATTATAGTACCATAACATCCACATGTCTTATCCATGTTGTTGCTACACCAGTCTGCTCAGTATTTACTAACACTGTTGTTGTTTTTATTATAATTATAATAATCATCATTATTATTAATCATTACCAAATTATATAGTTCAGGGGGACCTGAAAATATCAAAGAACAAATGCACAAGTGAATGTGTGTACTAACAAAAGTTATGAAATATCAAAGTGAATCAAGTGTTACTGGTCAAAACACCACCATGCAATGCAAATATGCTGAAAATCAGATGACTTTGCACACCTCCTCCTCCTTTGTAAAAAGACAAACCAAAATAGGCAAAATGTGTTAGCCAGTCAGTTAAGGCTTAACACATGCAGCATCCTTAATGCAGGCGAGATGCAAATGTAAAGTCAATCTACCTACTCTACCTATCGAACAGGTGTCAGTAGTCCTTTCAGGTTGGATGGGGTACGGCAGGTTCAGAGGGGAAAGAGAAGAGCCTTGCAAGAAGCAGCTACCTGTAGAGGCTGGGAGTGGTAAGTGTACATTGTTCCGATGAGAGGAGGGCGTTGTTACTGATGGGGCTGTGTTCTCACTCCCATGTAGCCGCACTCTGGCACGAACCCCACCATTCAAGATACTGCGGTTTGACATAGTGTCACTGTTGGCTTGTCCTATAACAATAAACCAGTACCTTAAATTTCTTTCATATAAAATATTTAGAAAGAAAACGTACAGATACCACAAATGCTCAATTAAATTTTTCCAGGGGTAAAATATAGTGGCTAGCGACTGTTCATTTAATGATTCTGACGAAACCAGTACGTGTCTGGTCAGAACATATTGTTTAAGCTCACACATTTCAATTAATTTTATAATTTAATAAAAGCAGAACTTTTAATTTAAATTAATCAAGTAAAGTACTGAATTAAAATACCAAAAAAGTGTTTAATTAAATGCCAGAACTTCATACTATCCTGGGCTAAAATTGTAGATGGCTACTGGTACAAAAATACTGAATAAACATTGATCTCGGTACTACTAAAATATTAATATAAACACTGTAATGCTTTGACAATTTTTGGACACTCATGAAAACTTACCCAAATAACAGACACCTTGAAGAAATATTTCATTATGAACTTATAAAGCCAGAATGACAGTCACTGCAATGAAGTTTATTAGAATAACAGCAAAATATACTTGGATAAAATATTAAGAAATTAAGACACATTAAGGCCAGAATAGGTCAACAAATTTCCTAACTCCTTGATTGCTAGATGAAGAAGAAGAAAATGAACATGATTTGAGTTATGTACCTGCTACTAGTTCATTTCACTTGTAATTTACATTTTCTTTTGTATGTTGAAAAGTGAAGATAAATGAGGTTATGTATGCAAAATTTCAGGATATTTACATTGGTGGAAATTTGTTCTGTAAAGAAACATCAACAGGCAATCTTCTGACAAGACTGAAGCCACCATACACAAAGAGAAAAATAAAAACAAGTATTTGCTTAGTGCAGTGCTTCACTGAAAGTGGCATTAAGTGTCTAAGAATCTGAGCATTCAATATGTAAAACAAATCAATACATAATATGTTACCATTTTCCCCACATATGTACTATTAAAATATATCCAATAAGACTGTACCTAGTGGTGTAGGAGTAGCAGTACTCATCCTCAGCTGCCCATCAGCTGTCCCTTGTGCTTGCTGGCATGAACTCATTTCAATCTTCAGTCCATTCAATAGGGTGACAAGTTCCCCCACTTTTACTGGCTGTGTGTCATGCTTTGATTCACTCATGAGATCCAAAGTAAGTTCTAAGTTCTCACATTTGCCATTATAATGTGTGAGAACTTCAAACAGACTAAGTCGCTTCTCTCCAACCAAAGCATCCTTACGGAATGTACTGTGATCCAGAAGTCGAAAGTGAAGCTGTGAATGAGGTGTAACCAAGCTGAAACAATTACCAACAATGTATTTGTTACTTCATTACTGGTGTGGATATTTATTTCAGTTTATTTAATGGCACTTTTGGTATCTATACTGCATAGTGTTGGATGAGAGAATGACAGAGTAATGAAATGGAAAGAATGTGGAAGGAGGGGACTGTGACCTTTTTATTCACTTAACACTGTGAGGGTGATTAAATTAAGGATGAGTTAGGTTACACAAATAGTATATACATATAAAAGGTGGTTCACATTTATATTCAGGGCATGAAAACATATTAAGAGTATAAAGAAAACATAAGGAAAGATGTGACAACACTGCTGACTGCTTGTATTGGGCAGCTGAGATGTTTTTGTAGTTTATGGTATAATAGTCTCAATTACATTTTTATTGTGTTTGGTAGTGTACATGTTCTCTTATATAATACTGATAACAAAACATTTGACAAATTTGTTCACTGAAGCCTGCACATAAGTGCATTGAACAGGAAAGCCAAAAAATTGAAATACAAAATAAATATAAAACTATTTAGAACATGGGTAATAATATACATATGAGTTTTTAAATTTCTTGGCCAGCAGTATTAGCCGCTGTGTCATATTCTGTTCATCAGTAGTTCTCAAAGTTTAATTAATGGATCACAAGTTCTTTAGTGATAATCATGACAGTGAGAAAGCAGTGAGTAGGGATTGGCTGAATGAATGAGAGGGGATGGGTGAAACATGAAGAAAACCTGTTCTGAGCTAAATAGTATATAAAAATTCCCAAATGGAACAGCCGTGTTTGAAGTTAGCCAGTTATCAGTATATTATATAAAACTTTCAGCCTGTATCAAAATATGAACATAAAATTCCTCTCAAGAAAACCAGTAACCTACATATAATGTTTTTTTAAAAAAGCAACAAGCCTAAATAAAGACTTTAATATTTGAATTGTCTGTTCATTTACATGAACAGTGACCATGACAAGCTATTTTGTAATTTTCTGCAGTCTTGCTTCAAGATGTGTTAATCATAACTATCAGAGAATAACTGCAACTTCAAGTAGATTACACTTCTGCCTCGATGAAATACTGAACTTGGAATATTTGAGGGGACAAAAATGCACATCAAAGTCAGTTAAATAAGGGAATTAGTCCTAATAAAACTCATGCATTAAGCAAACACAACAATTTGCACTGAAAACAATGGTACACACTTATTATGTCTTGAAACAGATGGAAGAATAATATTCACACTGATTTTAAAGAAAGAGAGTATGAAGATATCAGCTACAATAAACTGTTTTAAGACAGTTCATGACAGAGTCCTGTGATAAGAACAATAAATTTGATTATTCTCTCTCAGCTTAATAATCTTATAACTGCTACAGACACCCAGTACAATGTTGTCACTTAATTAGTACACTCATGGTGGTTGATTTACAACAATACATAAAACAGGACACTGAGACAATCCAAATGTATAAGAGTAAGGTGCTACACAGCAATCAGTACAGTAAGATAACTCACCATTCAACAATAGACATGCTACTTACACAGTGAATTCTTCATTCCATTTAGGCTGGTAAGTGCACTTCACTACCTCAGTTTTTCTGGGTGTTTTGTCATCAATTGAAAGCTCCACATAGGGGTTGGGTTTTAGAAAACTACTACCACCTCGAAGATGAGCACATTCAACTACAACACATAAAATACAGGTGTTAATGTACACTATTTTAAACATTAGACAGATTTTTTATTCACCTTCATGCAAAACTTACCTGTAACACTAAGCTGGTAAAAACCAGGGGATGATGATTCTGACATGATAACGAAATTGTCATATACTCAATAACTGTCAAGCAACATATCATACAACAAACTTTGATGTTCACTGGCCATCATTGCAATCCCACCCTAAACAAAATAAGACACAAATTACTTACAGTTATAATCTGTACTAATAAGACAGAAAATTGCTTACAATTGTAGAATTAGAGGATTTTGTGGTGATGTGAGAGTAGACAGTGGACTTCTGTCTTGGACTGCTACTGACAGAAGACTGCTTTGTGCAACAACCTAGAAGACGACTGCCTAACAGATATAATTCTTCTTTTAATTCTCGGTCGAGTTATAAATATGAAGCTAAGGGCCTTATGTCATTAGTGACAGGAGTTTGACAAATGGCACATAGGCATACATACTACTTTAGAGTACAGTTTAAACTGCTACAATCTAAGAAGGACTCCTAATCTACAGTCTACTGTGTGGTTATTTTCAACAAAGACGTCTGCTGTTTTCTCATGAAACTAGATGTCTTGATAGGCTATCAACCAAGGTAGAAAGTTCAATAGTAAGGAACACCACTTACATAAGATTCCGTTCTTGGTGCTAGTACAGTCATCACATACTGCACTTATTTTATGAAGTTTAAATTTTTATCAAATCTCTTCTTCGAATAGCAAATGTCCTCTTGATATCGAATGTGGTTAATACATTCAAGATCCCACTAGCTAATCACCATTGCAATACATGACGTCACACAGAGCAAACCTATTGTACGTTCATAAATTTGTTACTGTTCTTGTTTCGTTTACATGAATTCATGGAGCATCACGTTACTTCCACCTTCATCAATGAACCCAGGAATTAGAAGTGGAACAATACAGTTACTTCAGGTTTCTGCTAATAAAATACACGATCCTTCACAAATAATAAAGCGAGGAATACGTCACACTTCGCTTATTCCATTTTAACTTATGCTCACAACTTTATAACTGCCATAGATAACCGATTCCAAAAATCTGTAATCGAGGAATCAGTGGGTAAGAGAATCACAGATGAATGACAAAGCAAGTTGATTACGGACAGTCATGAAATAGGGAATGCAATACGTACTTGAAATTCCTTGGTAATAGATGGCACACCAAAGTTTTATAGTGCTGCCATCTGCAAATATTTATATGAATTGGTCATGAGACATCGCTTGCTTGTTAGAAACGTTGCTCATTGAACAGAGTCAACTGAAACTTGGCGTTAATGTACTTCATGAAATGTAACTGAATTAAAGTTTTGGTCTGATTCCGGACGGGGTGTCTTTGTGTTCAAAATAGGTTTTTATAACATTTTATAAAGAAGGCGTTATGGATGTTCCTCAACCAAAGCAAATTTTAATTCATTTACAGTATGGGTACAATTTTTTTCCGAATTTGAAGGTGGGATGTGTAAGACTGCATTTTATTTAGCGATGTGAATATGTTCTGTTTATTAGTTCCTTAATAAAGTTTAAATTCTAAATTTAATATTGGACAGTTTGGATTACATGTAGTAGTATAAACTCGGGTTCCAGCAGCAGCAGCCAGAGAACTTTTCACGGGTTGGACTCTAGAGCCGTTCTGGACATGGTGAAGGGAACAGTACCGAATATCGTGCCAGGAATCGAACCACAGTCGTCAAATCAATTGTCTACCAAGTAAAAAAGCTATTAGGCCAATAATAATAATAATAATAATGCAACTCAACAGCTACAGGAGCCAATTACAGAGTCAACAACAATAATAATAAATTTAACTAAATGTTAGTCTATCGTCTTAAAGGAAGACCACAGACTGGAGGTGTTACAGAAAAAGTGCTGATGAGACTATTTTGATTTTAGAGGTTAAATAATAGAAAACTTGAGAAATTACAATCGATATTGTCAGGGCGATTAAACAGATAAGGACGAGACGGACGGACACAATTTAATTTTGGTTTCATATTAAATACAAAACTTTCCCTTTATACCAAGCGCCAGGCAATGAAGACGTAGGTAGGCTTGTAGGGCATATGGAGACAAGGTTCCGTACATTCTTAATCTCTGTATTTACCACATGGAAACATGTAAATGGTCCGGCTTACTTTACTTCCTGCGGAAGCAAATTCTTGTATTAATTGGATGAGAGATTGCGTGGGTTCCAGACATGATGACAAAAAGAAAAATCCCTGCCGTGATGAAAATGGAACTTTTGTATAATCAATCTGTAGAAAATTTACCTTACTTTTGCTATTACTGAAAGTTAACCTCTTTGCTTTGAGCCTAGTCCTAAGGGTATTGCTGCTAATGTGGTCGGTGGTAGGGCCTACCGCACACCTCACGCCTCAGGCTCGAAAGAAAACCTTCCCCAGTTGCAATGTTGAGAAGACAGTAGCAACTAGACGTCTCAACAGTGTTATGGCCAGCCAGTCCCCTGAAATCTCTTCCGTGGTATAGAAACTACGTATGAACGATACGGTCTGGTGCATGCCCCGCCATTTGAGATGATCGTTACTGCGATGGATAAGCTTGTAGGGGTAAAGTTTACAAGATCTGCGGGTTAATATTCAAATAGAACAGCCAAAGAAGTGACTCGAATTCATGTAAATCACCAAATATCTGTAGCAAACAATGTGGGTGATGAACAAACTGCCTGGTACAGCTAAGCGCAGTCTGTCCGGCGTTAAGAATAGATTGTTATATTTATTACAACAGTCCTATTGCGCACAGAGAACAGTGGTTAAAAGCACATGTCCATATGCTGCAGCATTAGTATATTCTATCAACACACATCCGACTGTTACTTGACTAACTTATGGATCCATGGAATGTAATAAATATGCACACACTTTGCTTCATAAAGACAGCACAATTAAACAATTTTCTGCAGCGTTCTGGACTGATTACTTGTGCTGAGGATGGAAATTAGACAAATAAAAGTACTTTAAGAACAGCGTAGATAAGGGTGGATAAATTGCTCAAACACGTTTTTACGTTTGTCAAGACCTCATTGTGTTAGGGAACGATGTAAGTAATACTCGTAACATTTCCGTTGCCTCTATACATGTATGATAAAGCCTTTTTCACTTTGAAACTTTAACAAACATCACACTAGTAAATAAACGAAACTTCGGTTTTGGTAGAAATGCAAATTTTGGGATCCCTTGTACAAAAACTTAATTCATGAGAAAGTATCGTGGCGCCATCTCCATTTCTGATTTATTGCGTGTCTTAACAACTTAAGAACACAAGACTTAAAGGCTCTACGAGGAATTAATGCAAAGAAGTCTTATCGGGCGACCAGACTTAGTAGTATTTTCACGGCTGATCGTTCGAGAATAATTAATTACCACGAGGACGACGATCCAATTTTAGGATATCGTGTCCGAATAAATGATTAATAATGTTAACATTGTGTCTTTTGGTATATCTACAAATTATATGCAAATAGGCGTTATTTCTTAATCTATTTAATCATATTTTAGATACCGCACAGAATTTTTATTGGGATCATCTCCGGCTCTCGACATCTTCGGCTTTGAATAAAATTAATTGCTTACTTTCGAGTTATCCCAAAGTGAAGACCGTATTTGGTGTCCCAGCGAATCATATCGCTTCTTCCGGCAAATGGAACAATTTGCAGTCTGAATACCAGAGTTGTTTTTAATCTTACAATGTTTTTATTTGAAGGTTTCTAGACTATTCCACCACATTTAAACGGTAGAAAGGTAATTATAGCATTGTTTGGTTGGCTGACTGTACACAGTCACACAGCAACCGAGTCACTATTACGTCACAGAGATAACTGAAGAGGACTGCACGTGCTTCGAATCAGACTTTGCCTCGAAATACAACTTTTCAGCGTTTTGTCTATTTGCAGTAGTCAATCAGTCCTTGAACTCGACCACAGCAAGACTTATTTTCGTTCCGTCTTAAGAAGCAGCTCTAGTGATTGGGAAGACGAGTATACTCTATCTTAGGAAGCATATCGCTTCTCCCAACCATTGTAAGTTTCTTGTCCCACCCCCTCAAGTTCCCCCCTTATTCCAACGAGGATTATATCTCTTTCCCCTGCCTTACGTCTTCCTCCACCCGCTCTGATATATAGTTCAAATGCCTATTTCAATTGCGAGATTCAATTAGTTAGAAAATTAATACATACGGCTCTAAATTAAAGACAAGGAAACTAAAGTGTGTTACGAAGCTGGAAGTACTTTTTTTATCACCTCACACGGTGTGACTGGTTGACTTTATAAAATATGTCTACTTGCATTTGAAAAATAAATAAGTCAGGAGTGAGATTTTTTTAAAAATAAACAGTTATTAATATTCGAAATCTGGAGGTTTCTGGTAATGTTGCGATATAATATGTATTTTTTTTCTTTCAATACTAAAGGGTTTTGACGATGGTTGGTCACACTTATAATTATTTGCTTTCTGGACTTTTTACATTGTCTTTGTTTAAAAGGGAAACCACAACCTTTCGGTAACTGGCTCTGTTTCCATCTTCAGGCGAGAGGGAAGGTACCTACTCAGTTGGGTCCGTCAGAAAGAGCTAGTCTCTGTCACTGGACAACGTACGTCACCAGCCGACAACTGACCAAAACGCTAACCAAGGGCTGAGTCCTGCTAGGTAACAACATTCCTGCGTACGAAACGCATTGCTGGAAATGGTAAACAGTGCCTTAAAATTAAAACGGGGATGTACTTACGCTAACGGGATATTGTCGCAGCGGAAGCCCTGACTATTCAAACTAGCATGTTGCTGCAGGCAACTTGTCCTTCGTGAAAAGGATTTTTGTTGGATGGTTCCTTCGGATTAGAACCCAGGAGGGGTGGGGATCGCTCTGCGAATTTTTTTTTTCAGCTGAAAGATTCCATGATTGGTGATGGCGGGCCGTGTCCCTTTTGAATTATATTTGTCATAGCTATCATGCGTGCTACGTGTCTCAATCATGTCACATAGCCTGCTTCGTTTAATCACTGTAACAAAGTTGATTAAAAGCACAAATTATGAAACTCTTGATGGCGAAATGTTTTCATTAATTTGTTACATAACAGCCAAATTTTAATAAACGAATGGCGAGCAGAAATAATAAACCCGCAGCAGTCATGCCAACAACTGCGACAAACATTTAGTCATTTTTGTATCAGATGGAGTGTCGCATAAGTTGAGCCACTTGATGATGGGAGGGGGGTCTGTGGTTGCGATGGTTAATTAAAGGGAGATTTAGTGCTTCATAACTGCAAGGCGGGTCGTCGGGTCACGTGATATACTGCGGTGGTGGTAATGAAGGCATCCAAGCGCGGGGTATTTATTAGGCTGATAGCTGCAACACGCGTGACGGCTCCCCACTCATTTGTTTCTATATGCAAGATTTTTGAGTGACTATAAAGCATTAAATATTTGAGAAATTCAGTTCCGAACCGTTTATCTTCTAGTGTCCTATCTAACAACCTAAACATCGGCATATACGCTACCCGATATTTTACATGCACATGAAAATTGGCATGTCACACTGAGAACGGATTGTTAAAAAGAATATTTTGATTTATAAAAGAGGAAATAACACGAGGATAAAGACAACTGTACAATGAAGATTTCATAATTTTTACTTTTCACCAAATGTTATTAGGGTAATCAAACTGAGCAGGATTAAATGAGCATGACATATAAGACAAACGGATAAAAATGAGAAATTGAAGGTCTACACAAAAATTTGGTTGGAAAATCTCAAAGTAAGTTATCACATGGGGGACCTAGGAATATAATAAAACGTAAAACGAATTGAATTAAATACGCTCGGGATGGGAGCCAGTGTGTTTTTGAGAACACAGTAATTAAACCTTAGGATTCATTAAAGCAAGCAGTTTTTATATACTGATTATAATGATGTATGGAAAAGTATGGGATAATTGACTTGCAGGGTGAAATGCAAGGAGGGTAGCTGAATCTTAACACGATGTCAAACATATAAATGATCATTATTTGTAGCTGATTTAAGTAATATTTTCTTTATAAATATATAGAAC